AAGAGGGGCTGGGGATTTAGCTCAGCGGCAAAAGCGCCTGCCTGGCAAGCGCAAGGTCGTGAGTTCGGTTCCTGGTACCGGAGAAAAAACCAAAAAACAAAAAAACCAAAAAAAAAAAAAAAGCAGAAATGGACGAGGCAGCAGGAGAAGACAGTAGCACACTGACGAAGGTTCTGCCATTAGGCCTGGCGCCTAGCATGGAACTAGTCTATTTTTGTGTCCCGAAAAGCATTTTAAGGCATCTCAAGACATTAAAGGTTAGAAGGCAATGTTCACTGTGCCCTCTTATCTGCATGATTGCCATCTTTCTCAAGAAGCTCAGTGACAGTCAGCAAAGCAACTCTTTATTCTCTACTGCCAAAGAGAACCTGGCAGTAATCTCCTGAGTAGGTTCCTAAACATGAAGATCAGGGGACCACACCCAAAATCACAAGGCAACTCAAACCACACATCCTGGTGTAGTCTGATCAGACTATTTGCTTTCTTTCATATTCAAGAGAAGCAGAAAGAGCGCACCAAGATGCATAAATAAGAATATTCCCTAACATCAGGAAGTCAGGGTGCCATGAAGTAAATTTACCTCCTCAATTCAGATCAGGTCATGTGTTTTTCACCACGGAAAGGATGATGAATGGAATAAAACAGCAGGACTGCAAACTGGCCCAACCAATGATGCGAAGGACTTTTATAAAACATTCTTGAGGAGTGCTAGCAATGAACATATGTTCATGTTGGATTGTAATTTTCAATATGTGGAAAGCCCTTCCACACATGAACACCACCAACAGTTAGGAAGCAAATCAATAACCAGAAAATGATCAGAGAAAAGGAAATCAGCATACATTATTGTCTAATTTAACATTTGGTGGCGTATTTATTTTGCCAAGTATGCTAGAGGCTCCTTAAAGCAGAAAATCATCTTCTTATTTCTTTTGTATCATTCACAGACTCTATTACAGAGAATAAGTCTAATGTGAAATAAGACACACAGCTGATAAATGGATAAATGTGTAAACAAGTGCAGGAATAAACCTATGGGCAAGTTCATCTCGATTAACTGACAGATTAACCTCCGTAGTGCCAAGAGAAAACAAAGAATTGGAATGGAACTCAGTAATCATTTTGCTCCATTTCTCCACTTAAAAATTTTAAATGGGGAAACTAAAATTTAGAAACCTGTGCTACAAAGTCCTGTGTAAATTTTCACTGAAAAATTAGAATTAAACACAATTCGCAAATAATGTTCTTTCACAGATCACCATGCAGTGATGCATGGCTTTTAAAATCAAGATGCCAGCATGGGAGGCTATAGATCATAACCCTGATGTGGCATCAAATGCTAAAATAAATTAAAGTCTTGTGAAAGGAGGATTACCATAGCTGCACAGCTGGAGACCTGGACCTGCTGATGCTCACCTCTGTCACCTGTCAGCTTGTTTGAAGGTTAAATAGCACCGAATGGTTCCCGATAATTAGGATGGGAGTGTAATCTATCTAGAAGCACAAAGCCATGCTCTTCCAAGCATTTAACACGAGCCAGTCATGTGCACATGGGGCTAGAGCAAGGAAATCAAGTAGTTGAACTAACATTTGAAAATAGGGCAGGAGAAAGGTCTTGGATCTTTAAATAATATATGTGTAATGTAAAAAGGGCTTAGAACAACCAGAAGATAGAAAGCAAGGCCCACATATTTTCATCTACTGAAACAACACTTTCAGAAGAGTCCTCCAGAAGATGGTTGCAAAGGTTAGCAGAGGTTCACTGATCAACAGTTACTCTCTCTGCACACAACGTCTGCTATCAGGTCAAAATAAAGTTCACAAAAAGAGGGAAGCATTCATTTTATTTCTTTGTTTACTTTTTACTTGTCCTATAAGTGATAATGCCGTCCTTAAACGGACATTTCCTCATTCCCATAGCCCACAGTGATATAACCACAAGCACTTTGTAATGAGGATCACATATGTTTTATTGGTTTCTAATGGTCTCTAATCAAGCAGTAGCTGTAACTATGTCAGTAAAAATGTTTCTTCAGATTACAACACGCGGAACTGCTCGAAGCCTCTGACAGGAAACATTCAGCGTAGTACCACCAAGGAGTGTTCAACAACTACTGTGTTCCGCTGCTGCTAGAAGAGCTTCCTTCTCTTTGGGTCTCTTTGACACCATTTTGGTTTATTTTCCCACGGCATATTTACCTAACCCTACAGGGCCACAGCAATGTTTTCCCTGAAGGGGTTTTGACCCCGTTACTGAAGGTGAAGAAGTGAGGTTAGCAACAACTTCCCTATTATGTCCCCAAAGCTCGGGCTAAATAAACAGTGTTAACCATCAGGGGAAAATAAATCCTCTGTGCCTCTCACAAATCAGACCGGATCTCAGAGATAGCTTAGGATTGATTATCAGGAGCTCAGTGGCGTTACTGCTAGAGCTTTAAGTTTTGAAAATAAGGAAT